AAAAATGGACAATATCGGTCCACTCCACTCCATCGAGTACCTTCCCCACAAAGGGTCAACATTTTGAATAATTATAACTCGTATAAAATGTGAGGTAAGAGTCCGATTATCTTCAAATTACATACATCACAATTGTTTTATAAATCCAAGGTCTGGTGTGAAGATGGAATATATCGGCCCACTGCTACTGGTACCTCCCCCACAAAGGGTTAAAATTTTGAATATCAAAGAAGTTCACAAAAAATGCGAAATTATCCTTCGATTCCATTCAGACTTGGTATATCTCAAAATTAACATCAACACAAGATCTGTTAAAAATATGGTAGAGATCGAACCATTCCTTCTGGTACCTCCCCCACAAAGGATCAAAATGTTGAATAACCAAAACGGTTATAAAATCCGAAATAAGCTCCCGATTCTCTTCGTATTTCACACATCCCAATATTTCTACTAACACAAGATTTGTCGTGAAATTGGAATATATCGGACCACTCCTTCTGGTACCTCCCCCACAAAGGGTCAAAATTTTGAATATCAAAGAAGTTCACAAAAAATGCGAAATTATCCTTCGATTCCATTCAGACTTGGCATATCTCAATATTTCCATCAACACAAGATCTGTTTTAAAGATGGTAGAGATCGGACCATTCCTTCTGGTACCTCCCCCACAAAGGGTCAAAGTTTTGAATAACAAAAACGATTATAAAATCCGAAATAATCGTCCGATTTTCTTCGCATTTCGCACATCGCATTATTTTTACTAATACAAGATTTGCTGTAAAGATGGAATATATCGGTAGACTCCTTTTGGTACCTCCCCCACAAAGGGTCAAAATTTTGAATATCCATGAAGGTCATAAAACGCGAAATGTACACTCGACTCCATTCCAGACTTAGTACATCGAAACATTTCCATCAACACAAGATCTGTTATAAAGATGTTAGAGATCGGACCATTCCTTCTGGTACCTCCCCCACAAAGGGCCAAAATTTTGAATAACCAAAACGATTATAAAATCCGAAATAATCTTCCGATTCTCTTCGCATTTCACACATCCTATTATTTCTACTAACACAAGATTTGCTCTGAAGATGGAATATGTCGGTCCACTCCTTCTAGTACCTCCACCACAAAGGGTCAAAATTTTGAATATCCATGAAGTTCATAAAACTCGTATTTTTTTATTTTCCTCAAATCCAATAAAACATCACTTTTTCAAAATTTCCCAATGATGTTGTATTAAAATATTTAAAAATGAATTATTGAATTCTTTTCAGGTTGAATTTAAAATAACATTTCCATCCCTGCCCCCCTGAGGAACTGAGTTGTGGACACACATTTCCACTTGGCATTTCTGTCATCATCATCAACTCAGAACTTGCAGCTGAACTTGTCAAGTCATATTTATTCAAGCAACAACAACAACGACGGCAAACAATTTGCCATTGGAAAATTCCAATATGACCATGTCATTCAACAATTTTTGTCCAATGCAATGCACATTCGATGATGACCAGAGCAAATCTACTCACTTCATACAATGGAGAAAGAGAGAGAGAGAGTGAAAAAAACCAACAAGAATGAATGCTTTCAGGATTATAGAAATCCTTTTTTGTTGGTTAAATCAAATGGCCAGCAAAAAGGGTAGTGAACACTGAATGAAATTCCAACTAAAAAAATATTTTTGGTTCGAGAGGCAAAAAAATGTAATGCATGACTGGGATAGGAGAACATACAAAATGTCTTTGCTAAAAATGGAATGCATTTCAAAAGCAAAAAAAAAACTTAGATTTTACATTTTTTCCAGTAATAAAACATGCCACATTTCTATAAATAAATTTGTGAAAATAAATTTCATGGGAATTTTTTTGTTAACAGCACATCAAGGGCCACAGGACATTTTTCCAAAATAACTGTGTGGCAGACCACAATGGAAAATCCATTTATATATTTAGTAGTTATTTGATTTGTTATCCTGGCATCAAATCCAGACACATGTATGTGTGAGTGCATGAATGCTGGTTGGTGTTGTGGTATTTTATAAATCACTAAATTTTTGGAAATCATTTTTTTGGTTAACATTCCAAATGAAATGCAATTGGAAAAAATAATAAAACAATAAATTTGGGAAAAATGTGGGGAAAATCTGGGGAAAATTTTGAAAAGAAAAAAATGATTGAAAATATCTAAAATTAAGAAATTACAAACAATTAATGCCCATTTAATGTTTTGCCTTGTGAACACGGCATTAGAGATGAAAGTAACAAAATCCAAAGCATACTTTTAGGCAAAAGTAATAATCACCCAAGAAAAGATGTTTTAAGACTTTAGTGGAGAAATAATGACTTGTAAGAGCCAAATGAATGTATTAATGTCTATAAAATCATAGCATACCTTAAGGAGCCTTAAGGAACTTTGTTTTCACACAACTGGGAAATGGGAATGAGACTAAGACAAAAAGAAACTTCTTCAATTGGGAAGAATAGAATCTAAGAGACCTGATATGGAAAAGACATATGAAACTCTTTTAATTGGGAAGGATAGAATCTACGGAGAAGATCCCAAGATATCTTCCATGAAAAAGAGAACTCCTACAAAGGGTTATATGAATGAAAAATTAATTATTTAAGATCTTCTATTAAAAGAGGATCTCATTTGACTTCTTTCTATAGGAAACCCCTCTAAGGACCTTCGAATTAAAGTAGGTTTCCGAGGGGTCTTTTATGGATTAGAAAACATTCATGTGCTTTCAATGTCTTCTTTCGAAATAGCCTTTCATTGAAATACAATCCTCTTTGGAAAGAATTTTAAACCTCCTTTGGTAGAAACTCCTCGGAGGAAGTCTTCTATAGAAAAGAAGATAACTTCTCTGGAGTTCTCTATAAAAACTGAATGGTATCGAAAAAAAATTAAATCGAAATTACAGTTGACCTGTAGAAATGAAAATGTTCCTTCAAAAAAAATTCCTAGGAAAATTCGTGAAAATTTTACAAAAATAAAAATTTCCCAATGAGGGATATTTTTGGGGATTTTTTTATTTTGACTTTTTATGGCAATTTAATCAATGTATAGGTCAACAAATAATTTTTTAAATCAAAATGAAAAGAAAATCCATTAAAATCCCTAAAAATAGAAATTTCCCTACAAGGGAAATTTTTGGGAATTGTTTTTATTTCGACATTTTATCGAAAATTAGCTAATATTAAGTCTTACCAAATATATTAAAGTTGAAATTGTAAGAAAAATTCGCAATAATTGGTCTGAGTAAAAATTTCCCTTGAAGGGAAATTTTTGATAATTTTTATAATTTTGTTTTTTGTTGCAAATTAGTAAATATATGGACCTATCAATAATTTCTCAGTCGAAATTAAATGAAAATGTATTAAAAATTTTAAAAAGAAAAAAATTTCCTTTAAAAGGGCAAAAAATTGGGAAATTTTTCCTTAAAGGGAAAATTTTTTATTTTGACTTTTAAGAAAATTTAATTAACATTCAGGCCTAATAATCACTATTTAAGTGGAAATGAAAAAAAAAAAAACAATAAAAAACTTAACAAATAAAAATTTCCCATTTAGGGAAATTTTTGAGAATTTTTTTACTTTTACATTTAATTGAAAATTAACTACTTTTTTACCAAATTATAAAAAACTCGGAATAAAAATTTGCCTTCAAGGGAAATTTTTTAGAATTTTTATAATTTTTTTGATTGCAATTTGAAAAATATTAGGGCCCATCAATCATTTCTTAGTCGAAATTTAAAGAAAATGTATTTAAAATCTTAAAAAGAAAATTTCCCTTTGAAGTGAAAAGTCTTGGGAAATTTTTCATTGAAGGCAAATTTTCTATTTTTACTTTTTTTAATGAAAATTTAATTAACATTCAGGCTTAACAATCGCTGTTTAAGTCGAAATGTTTGACGGAAATTTTTGGGAAATTTTTCTTTTTGATATTTGATTGAAAATTAACTAATATTAAGTCTTACTAAATATATTAAAGTTGAAATTATAAGACAAAGTAGTAATAATTGGTCGGAGTAAAAATTTCCCTTCAAAGGATTTTTTAGGAATTTTTATAATTTTGGTTTTATTGTAATTTGATTAATATATGTGCCCATCAATCATTTCTTAGTCCAAATTCAAAGAAATTGTATAAAAAATTTCAGAAATAAAATTTCCCTTGAAGGGAAATTTTGGGGAAATTTTTAAATATTAGCCTTTTTTGCAAATTATTCAATATAATGACGTATCAATTATTTTTTGAGCCATAGGAAAATCTTCATAAAAATCTTGAAAAACAAAAACTTGTTTAAAGAAAATTTTTTGAAATTTGTATTTTTTACTTTCTTAAAATCGGATCTAAATACAAAATTTTCCATTGAGGGTCAATTTTGGGAAATTGTTATATTGACATTTTATCAAAAATAATTTGAACTTAGACTTGCCAGCCCCTTTTTTAAGTCTCATTGAGGGAAATTTTTGGGGAATTTTTCTTCTCAACACTTTACATCAAAGTAATTCCTTTATGGGCTTGCCAGGAATTTTATAAATCGAGATGGCAAGAAAATTCATTAAAACTTTCAGACATTCCTTATGAAATTTAGATATTTTATAAATCGAAAAGGAAAATTTATAATAACTTTTGTACATTGAAATTCCCCATGAAAATAAATATAAATTTCCTCCATTGAGGATATTTTCTGACAATTTTATTTTAATTTATTTTTATATATTTATTTATTATTATTATTATTATTTTCATTTTTTAATTTTTTTTTTTAAGTTCAAAACTGAGTTATCTTTAATCTGGTTTGGCGTTTAATCTCTCAAGAGTACCGTTTTAAGTGCTCCACGGTGTAAAAACGCCTTGAAAATTAATCACATTCTCTTTAAGAAAATTGTACAATTCAAAGCCCTCTTTCAGGCGCTTATCTTACTAATTGCTTGTTTTTGGCCAAAGTTGATTAAAATTTATGATAAAAAAATCTCTCTTTTGGACTTACCTGATATTTTTTAATGCTATCCAATTGCTCCATGGTTGGCTCAACAATTTGGGCAATTTGTTGTGGCTGATGACTGCTGGCCCCCGGCATGCCACGTCGGTCTGGTAGCTGCGGCGGCAGTGGTGAACTGCGCATGCGGCCATCTTTGGGTGGTACTGCGTCACGTGGTGGCGGTACTGGTTTCACGGAACCATTTAACTGGATTTTTGGAACATGGGAAGGGGTAGGAAATTGAAATAAAAAATTAAAACATTTTAAATATTTTTTTTTACATATAAAGGTGTTGTTTTTTTTTTTTTTTGGAGAGAGAGCGAGAGTGTAGAAATGCTTGTATTGTTGTTATGCGTATTGTTTTATTGTTGTAGTTTGTTGTTGAGTTTTAGTTATTATAAAATGGGAAAAATGAAAATTAATGAAAGTGAGGTGAGGACGATAGCAGGAGGCATGAAGGCAGTTTGTTTCTTGGTTAGGAAAAAATAATTTTTAAAAATTGTTTCTTCACGTGGGAGAGAAAAAGCGAGAGGTATTACCCTATCCTCATTTTCTCCCTAATTTTTAGTTTTTAATTTTTTATTATTAAATAGAGGACGACAGCAGGCATGAAGGCAGTTTTTTTTTTTTTTTTTTTTTTTGATAAAGAAAAAAAATAATTTTTAATTTTTTTTTCATAATTTAAAAGAGCGCAAAAGAGAGTAGAATTTATAGTATTACTCTTTTCTCATTTTCTTCCTAATTTTTATTTTTTTTAATTATTTTGAATGTTGATGGCAGTTTATCTGTTTAAAAAAATAATAATAATTAAAACAAAAAACAAGTGAGAGATCTAAAGAGAGAGAGAGTCCATTACTCTTTTCTCATTTGCTCCCTAATTTTTACATATTTTTATTTTTTTTATTTTTAATATTATTAATTATTAAAGATTTTATCTTTGTTTTACTTCATAATAACTGTTGATTTTTCATTTTCAATTGCCTTTTTTGTTCTTTTCTAATTTTATTTGCTCCTCTTCTCATTTCGGATGTTTCTTTTTTTGCCAAAGAATTATATGTTGCCCAAACTACTGCAAAGTTTTCAAATATTTGCTTTAGTTTGGTTGCCTTTGGCAGAGCAAAGCTTTCTGTGTGTGCGTGTGTTGGTGTGTGAGACTAGTTAACACTCTGGCCAAGTTTTCTATTTGGGGTGGCATTTTAACTACACTTGAGAGTAATTAAAAAGTTCTTTTGATTTTTTTATTATTTTTTTTTTTTGGTTTTTTTTGAAGGGAGATGGGCACAAAAAATTTTCTAAGAACATCAAAGCGTTAAAAGGAAAATGGATACTAGAAAATAGGGATAATAAAATAACTCAAGAAATATGAAGGGAATTTCCTTAAAATGGGTTCTGAAAAACTAAAAAAAAAAATTTTAAATATTCAATTTTTTAATTCGTGCTTTTTAGGCATATAGTATCCTCAGCAGTTTTGTAGGTAAAAATACGAGGAATATTTTGCTAAAAAATATTTTTAACTCTCAAGGGAGTCATTGAAGGAGTCTAAATTTTTCGAAATATTCAAGTTTTTTTTAACAAAAATTTGTGCTATTTTTTATGGTACATATTAAGTATGCAAACTTTTTTTGTTCAGAGACTCTCAATGAAATTTGATGTAGATTAATTCTTCCTTTGACACTTTTCCCAAAATAGGAAGTTAAAAGGGAGATTTTGAATTGGATTGGATCCGTGTTACATTAAAAGTAAGAAAGCAAACATTCAATTTTGACTTTTAGTACATAATTTTTGAATGTAATTTTCATAGAAACGATTATAGTTAGATATATGGTTTATTCTGAGATTTATAGTGAAATTTGATCTAGATTAATCCTTCCCTTGACACTTTCCTAAAAAAATGTAGTATAGAGGTAGATTTTGACTTGGAGTTGAATTAACAGTAAACACATAAATTTCCATTGTAGTATATAAATTTTGAATGCAATTTCCACACAAACTATTACACCTAGATATATGATTTATTTTGAGATTTGTAGTGGAATTTGGTGTAGAATATTTCTTCCTTTAACAACTTTTGCCTAAAACGCAATTTTATGTAACTTTCGGGTCGAGGAAATATTGATCAAAAAAATTAGGAAATATTTTTGCCTTTTTTTGGAAAAATTGCTGCAAAACTTATGATATTTTTTCATGGTAAATATTGAATATACAAATTTCTTTTGTTCAGAGACCCACAATGAAATTCGATCTAGATTAATTCTTGCTTTGACACTTTTCCCAAAAAATGTAGTATAAAGGGTGATTTTTACTTGGAATGGAATAGGGTTAAATGAACAGTAAAAAAAAGCAAAAACATAATTTTTACTCTTAGTACCCACATTTCCAGTGTTATTTCACTAAAAACTATTGCGCCTAGATATAAAATTTATTTTGAAATTTATAGGGAAATTTGATCTAGATTAATTCTCCCTTTGACACCTTCTCCAAAAAATGAAGTATAAATGAAGATTTTGACTTGGTGTGGAAACGGGTTAAATTAGCAGTAAACAAGTAAGCAAAGGCTACAGTCGAGCGGGGCCGACCGTTGAATACCCTACAACACTACAATAAACGATACAGTTTTACAGATACTTGGAAGAATTCCACAAGATATTATGACAAATAATAAAAGAAAACCATCAGGTTTCGTTCTCTAATTTTCGAATAATAGCAACTTTAACTAATTTGCTCATTTCCAATATATTGGAAGATGTTGCACGTAAATGGTCTTCCTAGATCTGGAACCAATATTTCCCAAACACCTATAATCTCTCAGAAGTGGCAAAAGATTAACATTAACATGAGATACAGACATTTGACTATATTCTTCAGCGAAATCAGCGTTAACGACATAGTCAGAAGTGTGTCTTTCCATCCAAAACTGCTTGGCTTTTGCAATCTCCGGTAACCCCCATTCAAATGTGCGTGAGGATCGGGCGATAATTACGACCTGCTGACAATTTTGCAGTTTTTTGGTCCATTTCAACCCCTAAATATATGGCGATCATCTCCAAAAATAGTAGGCTTCTATTCTGACCCTCATCTTATCCCCATGCAAGGATCGGGCCATAAATGCGATCTGTATATGATATCCTGATATCCTAACTACTTAGTTTTGTTAGCTGTAGAAATATTACCAAATGTTTAATTCAAAATGAAAATATGCCAAAAATATGACAAAATGGAAAAAATATGAAAAAATATTACAAAATCAATATTTTCATCTTTAGAGAGATATTTGTATGCGCTTTTTAGACGTTTTTCCTTTCCTGCCAAGAGGCCATTCTGAATTAATGAGAACTGTCGAAATCCGTTCAGCCGTTCTCGACATATAAGAGATCTTTCAAGCATATCTTCTTTGATAGACATATATATCGCATATATTTGCTATATATTCGATTTTTTGGATCTTAACATCAATGTAAAGATCAGAAGTAACCTTGTCATGGCTTTGTGATATCGCCGGGATTTAAAATATTCGCGGTTTAATGAAAAATTTTGAATTTTTTCAACAAAAAAGATATGGTCTATTTTACCCGCTAAATATTATCCGATGACCACCCAAATTCGTAGGCTTCTTCCCCGCCCTAAACTCTAGCTACATGCGAAATTCCGCGTCAATTGGTCTATAATTGCGACCTGTATAGCTACTGCAAAATCCGACATTTTTTCAGTATTTGGTCCATTTCAACCCCTAAACATTTTGCGATCATCTCCAAAAGAAATAGGGTTCTATTCTGATCCTAGCCCCACCTCCATTCTAAATTTCGTGAAGATCGGGCCATAATTGCGACCTGTAGAGTGATTACAAATTAACATGGACAGACGGACAGACGGACAGACGGACAGACGGACGGACGGACATACATAGCTAGATCGACTCAGCTCGGCGAGATAGGAAGATCCATATATACTTTCCTATGTGGGAAATCAATATTTCGTGGTGTTACATAATTTTTGGGCCAATCAAACTTATAATACCCCCAACACATAGTGTTGTAGGGTATAAAAAGCGAATACATAAATTTTCCCTTGTAGTTCATAAAGTTCTAATGTAATTTCCACAAAAACTATTGCACCCAGACATATACTTTATTCTGAAATTCACCGTGAAATTTTGTGTAGAATTATTCTTCCTTTAACAACTTTTGCCTAAAATGCAATTTTCTATAACCTTTAGGTCGAGGAAAAATTGATCAAAAAAATTAGGAAATATTTTTCATTTTTTTTTTTGGGAACATTGATGCAAAATTTATGATATTTTTTTCATGGTAAATATTGAATATACAAAATTGTTTTCTTCAGAGACTCATAATGAAATTCAATGTAGATTAATTCTTCCTTTGACAATTTCCCCAAAAAATGTAGTATAAAGGGAGATTTTGACTTGGAGTAGAAACTTGTTAAATTAACAGTAAAAAAGCAAACACATATTTTTCACTTTTAGGACATAAATATCGAATGTAGTTTTCCTAAAAACTATTGCACCTAGATGAATAACTTATTCTGAGACTTTTAGTAAAATTTTGTGTAGATTAATTCTTCCATTGACAGTTTCACCAAAAAATGAAGTATAAATGGTGATTTTGACTTGGTGTTGAAATGGGTTAAATTAGGAGTAAAAAAGTTAATACTCACTTTTAGAACATAAGTTTGAATGTAATTTCCACAAAAACTGTTGCACCTAGACATATAATTTATTCTGAGATTCACAGTGGAATTTTGTATAGAATATTTCTTCCTTTAACGCCTTTTGCCCAAAAAGCAATTTTTTATAACCTTTAGGTCGAGGAAAAATTGATTAAAAAATAGGAAATATTTTTGCCTTTTTTTGGAAACATTGATGCAAAACTTATGATATTTTTTATGATAAATATTTTGTTCAGAGACTCACAATGAAATTTTATGTAGATTAATTCTTCCTTTGACACTTTCCCCAAAAAATGTAGCATAAAGGGAGATTTTGACTTGGAGTGGAAACGAGTTAAATTAACAGTAAAAGAAAGCAAACACATAATTTTCCCTTGTAGTACATAAATTCAGAACGTAATTTCCCTAAAAACTATTGCACCTAGACATATGATTTATTTTGAGATTTATAGTGAGATTTGGTGTAGATTAATTCTTCCCTTGACACTTTACCCAAAAATGTAATATAAAGGGAGATTTTGACT